GACTCCAGGCAGTGGGTGTGGTTTGGGCTTTGCTCCCATAAAGACTGACAGCCTTGGAGACCCTGTGGGCAGTTCCACTCTGTCCTCTAGGGGCACTGTGAGCTGGAGTTGATGCAGTGGCCCCGGGTTTGGCTGTGGTTTACCCTCCTTTTGCAGGTGTGTTTCCTCCTCTGCTAATGTCTGAGGTCAGCACCGTATTTTAATCCAGCAGTTCCCTCAGAATCGAGAGTCACACCAGCTACGTTTTTGCTTTCTTCCAGGTCACTTCAGACGTGAGCTCAGACAGAGTCCTTGTTCTCGATTACAGATCCATTGTTGTAGTGGCATTTAGCATTGGGGTCCAATTAAAATGTTACACAGATTTTGAAAAAAATAAGATGAAGATTGAGTTTGAAAATGCTTCCAGCTTGATGTCATGTGCTTGATTGTTGTAATGGGTTCATTTCCTCCTGGTATCCCTGTTTACCTTTCAGCCTGATGAGTGACTGAAGGCTGAGTCATGGGGGTTAAGTTCAGTTCCCAGCTTGAAGGGTGTCTTAAGAGCCATAGTCTTGGGGTTCCACCAGTCTTCATCAGACCAGTAAGCCTGGTAATAAAGGCATGAGATCAAGAGGACAGCCCTGACCCAGGGATGGTGCTGGGGACGGGGAGGAAGGATGAAGGGAAGGGGTGGGCACAGGGAGGAGGTGGGAAGAGTGCTGTTGCATTGTGGGGACGGCAGCGAGTGTCAAAGAGCAGCATATATGGATTATTGAACAGAAAACCAATTGGCTCTGTAAGAAGGAACATGCTTTGTCAGGATTATGAGTAACTTAAGAAATAATCGTTTCAAGGAAACTGTTTCTGAGTATCTTGGTCAGTATACTGTTTCTGCTCATTCCTTTATAATCAGCATGTGTGGGATGCCCTGATGTAAGACTTTTCCAAGTCAGAAATGACATTAGTGGGACAGACAAGGAGCGGCAGCCCATACATAGGAGTCTAACCCAAACCACACCCACTGCCCTGGAGTCCATTCCGATTCACAGAGCCCCTAGAGGACAGAGTGGAACTGCCCCACAGGGTCTCCAAGGCTGTCATCTTTTTTTTTTTTTTTTAATTTATTTATTGTGATTTGGGTGAAGATTTACAGAGCAAATTCCCTTTCCATACAGCAGTTCACATATACTTTGTCTCATGTCATTGACCACAGTTTACCACAATGCAACAGCTCCCCTCTCACTTCCTCCCCATAGTTACCGCTTCCCAGTGTCCATCCCTCCATATTCTCCTGCCCCCTGAGCTGTCTCCCTGTGCGTAAGCAGCCCTTTCTTCTCCCATGACAAGGCTGTCATCTTTACGGAAGTGGACTGCCATGTCTTTCTCCCATGGAGCAGCTAGAGAGTTTCAGCCAGTGACCTTTAGGTTTGTAACTGAGCATTTTAACCGCTGTACCACCAGGGTTCCTATAGGAATAGTTAAGCACTGGCTCACTAACTAGGGGGTTGGTGGTTCAAACTCACCCAGAGCACCTCAAAGCAAGGTCTGGCAGAAACCTGTGGAGCAGTTCTCTGCACACCTAGGGTTGCCATGGGCTGGAGCTGGTTGTTGTTGTTGTGTGCCATCGAGTCGGACCCGACTCATAGCGACCCCTCCCTGGGTTTCCGAGGCAGTATCACTACGGAAATAGATTGCCCCATCTTCCTTCCGAGGAGTGGCTGGTGGGTTTGAACCGCCAGCCATCTGGTTAGCAGTCAGGTGCCTTACGCACTGTGCTACCAGAGCTCCCTACCCCCAGCTTAGCCTGTAACTAAGGCAGAACTGAGACAAAAGGAGCCAGCTGCCGTGGCAGGCAGCCCGTGGACAGGCCGATTGGGTAACCCTGAAGAGCAGCGTCCTTTCTGGGAGGTCTGTGTCGGGCGTCAGAGCCGGCCTCTCAGAGAGCACAGGCCTCTCCCTTTTCCTTTTTGGAGGGTGTGTTACTCGTATTTCATAACTGAAACTTCAGAGCCAGAGGTAGATTGAGCCCAAAACCAGGTGTAAGAGAGATTTTGTATGCTTAAAGCGCCCTCTGGTGGTTAACACAAATTAAGGCCTTGCTAGTGGGAGCTCTGGTAGCGTAGTGGCTAAGGCACTTGACTGCTAACCAGCAGGCTGGCGGTTCAAACCCACCAGCCACTCCCCGGAAGGAAGGTTGGGCAATCCTACTTCCGTAGTGATACTGCCTCGGAAACCCAAGGAGGGGTCGCTATGAGTCAGGGCTGATTCGACGGCACATAACAACAACAAGTGGGAGCTCGGGAGCTCTGGTAGCATAGTGGCTAAGGCACTTGACTGCTAACCAGAAGGCTGGTGGTTCAAATCCACCAGCCACTCCTCGGAAGGAAGATGGGGCAATCTACTTCCGTAGTGATACTGCCTCGGAAACCCAAGGAGGGGTCACTCTGAGTCGGGGCCGACTCGACGGCAAACAACAACAACAACAACAGTGTCACCTTGGATGGTCCTGAGGAAGTGCAGCCAAAAAGCTCCTTAGAAGCGAGAATGGCCAGCCTTTGTCTCACCTACTTTGGTGATACTGTCAGAAGGGACCACTCCCTGGAGAAGGATGTCATGTTTGGTAAAGTGGAGGGTCAGCAAAGAAGGAAGGGGAAGGCCCTCAGCAGATGGGCTGACGCAGAGGCTGCAGCGATGGACTTGGGTGTAGCAAGGATTGTGAGGCTGGCACAGGACTGGGCAGCGTCTCGTTCTGTTGTACATGGGTCGCTTTGAGGCAGAGCAGACTCGGTGGCAGCGAGTTAGTAAGTCTGTGGTTCTCGTTCTGTTGTTAGCTGTGATCGAGTTGCCTCTGAGTCCTGGTGACCTCACGCACCACAGGATGGTCACCGGACCTCACCATCTTGAGGGTCACCGGCATGTGCAGGTCTGTCAGTGTGGCTGCTGTGCCATCTCACTGATGGTCTCCCTCCCGCTGGCCGGCCTTCCCCTTTACCAGACATTCTGTCCCACTCCAGAAACTGATCCTGATTGGCTTTACTCAGAGCAGACGAGTGGCGCATGCCCTCTTGTGCTCCGTAGGGTTTTCACTGGTGCATTTTTGGAGGTCAGTGGCCGGGCTTTTCTTCTGAGTCTTAGTCTGAAAGCTTCCCCAGAGACACAGTGTCTAGCAACATGCTGGCCACTGTAGTGCCACCAGCTCTGTAGATGAGTCCAAAGAGGTAGCACACGTGGGTTGACGTCTTGAGAAGTACAAGTCTCAGGAACAGTGTTGACAGGGGTAGTGCCTCAGACAGATTCTGTGTGAAGCTGCCTCAAGGGGAAGAGGTGATTTCAAGCAAGCACTGAGAACAGGGCCAGGTGAATCGAGGGGTGGTGGCGGGGGGTGGCCACTCTCGGAAGAAGACGGATGATAACGAAGCCTGTCCAGACGTGCTCTGTGTGCTGGAGGGAGTGGCAGTGCATGGCCGAGTTTGTTGTGGGACTTTCCCCTCATTTCCTTTCTGAAGCGCTTTCCTGTGGATCCCCGTTGAACTTCTCCATCTTCTTCCCAGTCCCTTTGTGTCAGAGTTCCCTTCTGGACAGATTTCTGCTGAGCGCGGGATCTGCTTGTGTCTGGGCCTGAGCCGGGTTTGAAAACTCCAGGCTCTTCAGCCAACACCATCGCCCCTGAGTACGGTGCAGGGCTGTGCTCCTCAGGGCCTCGAGGGAGACGTTGAGAGTGGCTTGAGGTCACCTTGCCATCCCTTGTTGTCTGTGTGTTTCAGACGCGATTAGCTCCACGAACCCGAGGGTCATCGACGACGCCAGGGCGCGGAAGCTGTCCAACGACCTGAAGCGGTGCACCTACTACGAGACGTGTGCCACCTACGGGCTGAACGTGGAGAGGGTCTTCCAGGATGGTAAATGCTTGTTTCTGTGAATGGGCTGACCCTGCGACCGAGGAGCAGCTCCAACAGGGTTGCTCTGCCCGCAGGTCTCTCGTCCCAGCCCTCTCTGTCCACGGGGGTGGCAGAAATGCATCATTTCAAGTGTGGGCATTTGGGTGGAATCTGAGTGCAGCGTTCTGGAGGGTTCTATGGGCTTAGGTAGTTCCCGTGGACAGTGAACCGTCTGCTTACGACGTGCTCAGAATGGATTTTGTGTTGCATCTTACGGCCTTTTTGGGTGGGGCTGAACGGGCCCTCAAGCCTGTCCTCTCAGATTCCGTGCTATAATCCCTCCTTCTTATGTGAAGCTCATCTTTTAAAAACAAGGCTGGAGGATGTAGGAAAGAGGGGAGAGTGGAGTTTGCATTGGAAGGAGGTCACAGCTTGAGACTCACAGGTGACGAGGAGGGCGGGGCCTGGCCAGTGCTTAGGAACACTGCCCTGGGAGGAGCCAGGCTCAGGCGGGAGACCTCAGGCAGAGCCACCATGTAAAGAAGTGTGGCCCCGCTGCGACCCCAGTGCTGTGAGGGGCGGGTGAGCGGGGGGGGGGGGGCGGCCTCTAGCCTGGGCAGCCCGTGGGTCTGGGAAAGTGGTTTTCTTCCAGCCGGACGCTTGGCAGAGGGATACTCCAGGCGACGGGTCCTGGTGCTGATGGAGCTCGGTGAGCGATACCCCTGGGAGCCCCTCGCTGTCCGGGGCTCCTCCGTTGCTGGATGGTGGCTGCTGCAAGGAGGCCTGCGGAGCTGGGGCGGAGCCTGCGGGGCACAGAGTAGGGCAGCCGGGCTTGGGCTCCTCAGAGGTGGCGGCCCTGCTGTGCACCAGCGGATGACACGTGGTCCCTACCCAGCCTCCAGTAACCCCGGGATTAGCGTCTCCCGTTGGCTGTGTCACCCGAACGGGAGCTAGGCTTTCCTCCCCGCGTCTGAATTAGCCGTCAGGTGGGATCGTAGCAGTTCTGCACCGTCGCCGTCGGTTGAATTGCGGAGTGCGTCCGTTTCACATCTTGCCTTTTCGCTCCCGGCCGGTGCTTTCTAAGCTTGCTGCCAGTTCGTCAGCCTCACACTCGGCCGCCTTCTTGTGGTTTTCAAGACGTTGGTCCTTCAGTGCCTCTGGGTGGTACACACAGTTAAGCATTTGGCTGTGAACTGAAAGTTGGGTGCTTTGAGTCTGCCCAGAGGTACCTCGGAAGAAAGGTCTGGTGATCTCCCCAAAAGGCAGCCCTTGGAAACTTTGTGGGGCACAGTCCCGTCTGACATAAGCCGGGGTGCGTGAGTCGGGCTGGCTCGGCGGCAGTGGGGCCAGGAAGTCCCTTGTAGTTCACGTTTACTGTGACTCCTCCATGCTGAAGAAGTTGGGGCTCCCACAGAGAAGCAGACAGTTCCAGGGTCCTGCCCCTTCTTCCCTCACCTCACAGCTCATGCCAGTTTGCATTGGCGCGTGCACTGCTGGGTCCCGGTTTCTGACTGTCCGATGGTGCCTGGCATGCGTGGTCCCATTCTCTCCCTATTCCCCTGGGCCGGGCATGTGTGCTCCCAGTTTCTCCCTGTCTGCCTAGGCTGGGCACAAATGGTCTCAACCTCTCCCTGTCCAACAGGGCCAGCATGTATGGTCCCGGTCTCTCCCTGTCCCCATGGGCGGGACACATGTGGTCCCAGTCTCTGACTGTCTGCCTGGGCCGGGCACATACCCCAGTCTCTTCCTGTCTGCTGCGGCTGCCACGCATGGTCCCAGTCTTTGACTGTCTGCCTGGGCTGGGCACGTGTGGTCCCAATCCCTCCCTGTCTGCCTGGGCCAGGCATGTGTGGTCCCAGTCTATCTCTGTCCCCCTGGGCCAGGCACATGTGGTACCAGTCTCTGACTGTCCGCCTGGCTGAGCACACATTCCAGTCTCTCTAGTGTGTGAATGTTGGTGAGATTATGAAGAAAGATCACCCATAGAGATACAGAGTTTTCCAGAAAGATGAGTTCTAACAGGGCAGGGCCCTGAGCCTGAGGAGGTTAGAAGGAGGCATTGCAGAGGAGGGCCCCAGACTGCAGCCCCTGGACCAGATCTGCTAGTTGTGAGCCACTGGGCACTGACTGAGCACTTGGCTTCACTGGCTGATTACAGGCGGCCACTCTGGGGACAGCAGCCTGGGTGGGTAGTTGTCGTGGAGCCTCTGTGGCCTTAAGCCTAAAACGCTTCCTCTGCAGCCCTTTATGGGAAGTTTGCCAACCACAGATGTGGGCTCAGGTGTATGGGGGCAGAGCTTAAGGTTCACAGTGATGGCCTTTCAGGGGGTGAAGGTGGGGGTGGGGGCACGAGCAGGTGTGTTTCAGATTTATTGTGCTTGGGAAATGTGAGTGTCCTTAAATACGTGAACTCATCAATGATTTTTAAATCCGTGTTTTGAGAGGCAAGATTCTGGCACTTTCCTAAGAGTTCTCATTTGTAGCTCTGGGGAACAGCCAGGCCGGGAGAGGTGCTGTGGACCAGGCACATGTCGGGGGCACAGGGGATAGATGAATAGATGGGTACACAGGGAGGTGTGGGAGAAAGGTGAATGTGGACAGGTGCGGAGGGAGGTGCAGGGCATGGGTGAAGGGGGACGGACAGTGTAGTGTGTCTGCTGCTGGGGGTGTTGGCTGTCCTCTGGCACTGGAGAGCCCTTTCAGGGTGACTATAAAGCAGGACTGAGGGAGGGGTAGTTCCAAATGCTGATGTGTTATATATGAAAATACGTAAGATGTTTTAAAATAGAGAATATAAAAATTAAAATATGAATCGTGTTTTCGTAACCGCGATAACTCCTGTGGTCCTTCCCAAAATAACGCTGTGCAATGAAGCACGTGGGATTCTGAGCATAGAATTCTGTGGGCTTGGGAGTTCCCAGTAAATGTTGCTGTTTCCTGTAGAAAGTACTGTTTCCACTAAGTGTGTGGATCAGACAGAGGCTCGAACGGAAGCAGTGTCCCTACATCATGTCTGTGACCATTATGATTCTGTCCCTAAATTATTTTTATTTATGTGGAGAGAGGTTTTGACATAAAATGGAGGTTGTTGTTTGTATTTTATGTGGTGATTATGTGTCTAATTTTTTTATTATTTACTTAATCCACTGCCATCAAGTCAATTCCGACTCATAGCGACCCCACTGGGTTTTCGAGGAGGTAAATCTTTACAGAAGTAGATTGCCCCATCTTCTTTCCACAGAGCACCTGATAGGTTTGAACTTCCAACCTTCTGGTTAGCAGTTAAATGCCTTAGGCACGGCATCACCAGAGCTCCTTGTTTACTTAAAGTAATATGTTAATTAAATTGTTCATGTAATTATTTACTAATTTAATATAACTGTTAATGGTAAAAGCAGTTGCTATTTGAGGAGAAACTGTGCTAAATACTTACCAGATACTAATAGTGACAACCCATCTTAATCCTCAGTTAGAAAAAATCCACTTTGTAAGATTGATGTTGTTATTGTGTGCCAAGTGGGTTCCCACTCACAGTGCCCTTAGAGGACAGAGTGAACTGCCCCACAGGCAGTTTCTGAGACTGTCAATCTTTAGGAAACAAAGTCCGTGAAGTCCATTCTGACTCACAGCGCCCCTGGAGGACAGAGGAGAGCTGCCCCAGAGGGGCACATAAGAAAAGGGGCCTGGTGCTTAAGGAGCTAAGCCATTAACCAAAAGTTTGGCGGTTTGAACCCAGCAACTACTCCACTAGAGAAAGGTGAGGCAGTCTGCTTCTGTCAGGATTATAGCCTCGGAAACCCTCTGGGCCAGTTCTCCTCTGTTCTCTAGTGGGGCTGTGAGTTGGAATCGACTCCATGGCATTGGGTTGGTTTCTGGCTAGTCTTCAAGGGAGTGGACTGCCAGCCCTTTCTGGTGTTTGAACCACCATCTTAGTGGGTTTGAACCACTGGCCTTTGGTTAATAAGCTGAATGCTGAGCCACTGGGCCACCAGGGCAGGGCTCCTTCATTTGCTGGCTGCCATGGCTTGATTTGTAAGAGGCCAGGGCTTCCTCCTTCCCTTCCTTAGCTCTTGGTTTCCGAGTGCCCTGAAACAACAGGTGACTTATGAAATGGTGGAGGCCCAGGAGGTCTGCTGGCCTTTCTCCCCTGTGTGGCTGCCCAGCTGCTCTTGGAAGAGGTAACCCAGGAGGGAGGCTCTTGGCTAGCCGTCAGGGCGGCAGGAGCTGGGTGGCAGGAGGAGGAGCTGGGTGGTGTCCTCCTTCACTCTCTTGGGACACTTGTGTACTGTGCACTGGGCATCTTAGGAGACAGGGCGGACGGAAGCACGAGCCAAGTCCCTGCCTTCAGGAAGTTCAAGTCCGGCAGGGAGGGTGGTAGGAGTCTGGGGTGGTGGGGTGGGGTGCAGATGGTGAAGGTGCTCAGCTGCTGACTGAGAGGCTTGGAGGTTCATGCCCTCCCGGGGGTGGCTCGGGAGACAGGCCTGGGGATGTGCTTTCAGAAGCTCGCAGCCATTGAAACCCTGTGGGGCACGGTTCCCGTGACACACGTGGGGGCGCGCTGTGAGTTGGCTCCGTGGCAGGTGGTGTGGTTTTGTGGTTTCGGGGGGATAAACGGCGACAGTCACACAGCAAGGTATACCTGCAGCCTGCCTGGTGTGGGGAGGACAAGGGTCATAGCTGGGACGGAGTCTGTGGCCCCTTCTTAGCAGGTTGGGCCATTCTTTTTCTCTCTCACGGTGAGTTTGTGTAAGGAGCTGTGGTGGCGTAGTGCCTAAGGCATTTGACTGCTAACCAGAAGGTTGGTGGCTCAAACCCACCAGCCGTTCTGCAGAAGGAAGACTGGGGAGTCTACTTCTGTAAAGATTTACAGCCTCAGAAACCCATTGAGGGCATTATGAGTTAGAATTGACTCGACAGCAGTGGGTTTGGTTAGTTTTTGGTGAGCTACGTGCCGAGTAGATTGATCTGACTGCCACGGGAAGGGTCCTTAAGATGAGAGTCACGTTGAGAATTGCTGTACG